GGCGTCAGATAGGCTTCAGGGTTGACGAGGATGGACGAGCCAGATGGTCGAAACATCTTCTTCGGTCGCAAACGGCTCTCACCATAGCCCTCTCAATAAAGGAATGTCCGACCGCAAGAAATGAGATCGGCGTCAGATAGGCTTCAGGGTTGACAAGGATGGACGAGCCAGATGGTCGAAACATCTTCTTCGGCCGCAAACGGCTCTCCTCATGAGATATGCCGATGGAAGAACGCTTCCCTCCCTTCCACATGTTCTAATTAAAACAGAAATATCAGCATAAAATACTAAGAAGCATCACAGACTAAGCTGAGCAATGGAATACTTGAAGAAACAAATATAATCAAGCTCCAAAATGAGGTATCCCAAATAGACGACTCAGATGAAAGTATATCCAGAGCAAAAAAAAATCTACCACATATGAACCAACAGGACATAGCTGCTTGAGCATGGGCACAGCAAGATCCAATGAAATCTAACAGTGTGCAACAGAATTTAACTGGGTGCAGCCGCTTGGACACGAGCACCTAAGTTACCAATAAGATACAGGATTGCCATAACGCTCAGGAGGGCGTCTGATTCGCTGTGGCCGCTGCAAGGCGGTTCGAGAATTTGAAACTTCATCACCATTGTCTCCTGAATCATTATTAAAATCATTGGAAACCATGCAAGGTACAGGTGAATCTTTTAAAGAGACTAGATCCTCCGTGGCTTCATCAGAATCGGATGAAGTTTCAAGATATGACATTTCAAGATGATGTGATCGGGGAACAAACCACTTTACACGGTTGCAAGAAACGAGCTTAGTTGCACGAGTAGCCAGATTCTCATCTTTAAGAGTCTGAGGCCTTACACTAATAACTCGATAAGGGAGAGACTCATACTTTCCACACTATTTTATCGACTTTCCTTTGGGAGCCTTTCCCAGTGCAACCCAAACCAAATCTCCTACCTCACAGGCAGACATGAATTTTTGTCTAGCATCATAATGAATCTTCTGCTTTTCTTGAGCATGTCTGAGATTGACAAGCACTCTCTGCCTCATCTCATGTAGAGGCCAACCCACCTGCAAAAGGTTGTCTAATGCTTGGAAGGGCATCAAATTCAATAGGAGTCCTTGGCTTTGGTTCGATTCCCCGAATGAGCCGTTTCCCTATTCCGCTGCCACGAAGCGCGTCGCATGGAAGTGTTGTTGATTACAAGCCACCAGATGTCACTGTAATATTTCGACCCTCTCCTACCTATGAATCAGGGTCATAAAACTTTATAAGGAATCCAAATTATCCTACGCAACGAAGGGACAGTTCAAAGGATCAAAATACATACAAATTAAGAGACAGAGGGGCTTTATATATTTCCTCCCCTCATTCTCTCCCAAGGAACGAAGGCACTTTCTAAGATTTGTTACGGAGGAAGAAACGATGGACAGACGACGGAAGGCGTGAGAGGCCGAAAGTAAGCCAAGGAACGGCCGGGAATATGCCATCTTCATCCGTCACAATATTTAATTGGATTAGGATTGGATTTGGTTGGATTAGGAAATAATCGTGGCCGCGACCCTTTTCTTACCCAACTGACCCATGATTTTCCAAAACAGGTTGATTCTTGGCCTTTGACCGAACTAGAGGGAAAAAAATGGATGTCTACTAACCCTGCCAGCGCGTTAAAGGGCCTCACTAGGACAATGAAGACTAGACCTGAAGGGCGTAATATAACCTGACTCGAGTACAATGACCATGCCTGGGAAGGACATAGCATAGCTACCAGACGCAATGGCCCAGGAGGGTCGCCGAACATCCCTGCTCTTGAATGCCCAAGTAGAACATAACAATTTACATAAGCACATTATATAATCACTCATACCTCAACTCTCTCGGTTGAAACAAATATATCTATAACATAGATATATAGAATCTAGCCGCACTATGCCTTAAGAACACTTGGGAGAAGGTGGCGAAAATCGCTACCTAAAACTAACACTTCACCATCAAATGCAGAGTTGCAATGCATTGGATCCCACAGAACGTGATCAATGACTACAAACGCGTCATTCGGAGACATTGGCTCCTAGTCCCAGAAATGTCACGTCAGCAGTTCGCATCAGATCTATGGGCTATCCTTTCAAATTGCAACTGGCTTCATTGTGCAGATCGATTGGATGTTTGAATACGGTGTGACAGGTCATTCCACCGGGCAACAAAATTGCTGCGATTCCCGTCCACGCAACTGAAAGCACCTTCAGACTCATACCGCGCAGAACATGAATCATCGTATCGTAAAGCAAGGTTTAATTAATGCCACGAGGGCCATTGATAAAGAAAAAGTGCTACGCACCTCCTGCCACAAATATTCGGTCAGCCGCTTCGCGCTGACGCTCATTGAGCATCGCCTTCATCTCGTTGCCGTGGTTCCGCTCTTCAATCGACTCGTATTTCACTGCGCGAGCAATGCTGTCGCCTCTGGAGGCACAGGCAGTCCCTTCTAAGCGCAGGAGGTCCGACCAGTTTGCAACATCTTTCCTATCTCGCTCTGTGCCAACGCATTGGCCACCTCTTCAATATCACCACCGCGGACAAAACACCAAATCTTATCAGACATGCAGTCTTTCAAAAAGCGCAATGGATCGGCAGGGATACTGTGAATGAGGAATAGTCGAGTAGTAACGAACTAACTAATAGTGTGGACGGGGTCATCAATCCTCGTCTGCGTGTATGCATGCCACACCTGACGCAGAATCTGAATCAGGGAGTCTGCGAAAATGGGTTTATCTGGTCGATTTTGCAGGGATCGGGCGAGAATAGTCCGTACGTGCTCAATGGTATTCAAGTCTGGCGATTGGCCGGGCCATGACGGAGATGTGATCCCTTGAGTCTCATTCCACCTTTGTGTTGCACTGGCAGTGTAAGCTGGCAGGTAACTTCTAGTAAAATAATGCCTTCTTTGAACAAATGACCATTGGTTTAGACGGGCAGAAGTCTCTCTTGGAGAATGTTGATGTACCTTGCAGGAAAAACAGGTCCTATGCGGGCCACTAGGTGTGACCATCCTCTATTAACATCCTTGAAATCTTATGACTTCTCCAATTCCCATGTTGTCTGGAGACTGGGGCTTCCTCTGACCTATACCTGCTATTGTAGGTAGCAATTATAGGACTGTCATGTGAATGCATTGGAACCATGGCAGGTGACTATTTACTCATACCAAGTCTCACTATACTTGCAATTCGTAAAGTCAACTCTGAAAAAAGCAGGACATTAGGGGAGCCTGGAATGCTCACCGTAATAATTGGAAGGTTCAATTCCATTCTAGAATTCATGAACCACTTGGGTGGTCCAGATTTGGCCTGGACTTCATTTTCCGCACATTTACAGAAAAGTCACTGCGATGGAAGCTATTTTCCATATTTTTTAATGTAGTCCCCTGCCACACTCACACCCGAGACTTATACCCCCATCTAGTGGCTTGGAGGAGAAATTTATCATATCCCAAAAACTTATAAGTGCAACTTGGGCATATTGGATCATCATGTCGGTCCGATGATGGAATGCCAATATTGGGGAGCCAATATTTGGCCGAAATTGGCTATATTGGCCAAGGTGAAGCCAACGTGCCCAACGCTGGCCCAACATTAAGCCAGTATCTGGAGCTACTAGGGAAACTGGCTTGATTACGCATCTTGGATAGATAATCAATCATACCTTGGTAAAATCGTCTTTCAGGCTTTTCTTCTTCACTCGGGATGAAGAAAGTATGATATCAGTTCTTCCATGACTCATCGGAAGTATCTGGACTAGAACGATTTAACACACACGACGCCCGAAAGAAGAGAATCGGCCTTCTCGTAAGATAGTAAAGGAAACTTGCACATCAAAACGTTTCCAATGAGTACAGGTGGCAATAAAAGGTGGAACCGATGTCGTCAAGTGAATAGTAGAACCATCATGCTACAATCTCAGGGCCGGAATTCCCTGATGTATCCCCGGGCTGGGTTACATCCTGATAGAAATGAACTGAGGAATTCCATTGTCTTCCTCCCAGATCAATGTGGGAACCGGAAACCGACAATAACATGGAGAGACAATATGTCATAGTCGTTGGCATTCGTGAAATGCGTGTTTTTGATGTCGAGTGCATTGAGGCAGATGTTACATTATTCACCTGAATTTAATCCTACTCCATCATCTCCTGCATCATTTGCGCCTAACGTCTGATGTTCAGTATCTCAATCTCGGTTTTGTGTTTGACGAGATCGTTGCAGCAAAGGTTTTTCAAACGGAAAATTTTCTTCTCTCCTTACTAATTAGGTACTCTTCTGGTGTCTTCGCGAAAATTCGAATTTCGATCGGGGGTTTCCCATTCGCAACTCATGCCATGTCGTTATTTGTCGGGTAACGGTCTTCCATTTGGTGGCATTGCTGAACATGCATCTCTTGGGGGATATCTTGTGAATTGGTGCATTTAACTCAAGTTCCTCTCACCATACGCGCTACATAGGGCACATGTCCTACAGAGGTACCATGTCGGGGACCAGAGAAGTCCATGATAGGGCTCGCATTTCTTTGGAGTTCTGCCTCATGAGTCAGTCGTGACACCTATAGGGCCTCCATGAAAGCCAGCATCATGGGAAAAGTTGATATAGTGTTTATTTTTCTATTGGAGATGTTCAAAGCGCTGCAACCAACCTTCCCCCCAACTCAACAGGATCAACTCCAGTGTTTCTTCTTTCGACAGAGTCATTTCAATATAATAACTCACCTGTACACTAAAAAAGAAACATGATCAAAATGTATCTATGATGCTGGACTTCATTGGCACACTTTGAAAAGATTACTGATCCATCGCAGGAGAGGGCTTCTCGGTTCCACGAAGAGAGCATAAAAGATAAGGCGTTGATTGCTTATATACGACATCCTTCTTCCTGCGTAGACAAACATTTTTGTTTGCGGAGGAAAAAGAGCGTGTTAGCTTTTACTTCACATTCCGATGTCACTTCTATCAACATGAAGGTGATTGCGCCCACTTGAATTAGGCGTGCTTCCTTATCATGACTGTTAGGTCTCCATGCCTTCAACCAGTTCTCAGCCAATTACACTTGAAGCTGGTGCTTACAACGTTTCTGGATTCATCTTGCTGCACCTCCTGAGCAGTCAGGTAAGTATAAGGCCTGTGGTCTCTCCCAGTTGAGCTCGTGACTCTACGATTGCTCCATCCCTTGACGCAGCAGCTGATCCCTCCTGGAAAGCCAGTATCAAGATTAAATCTCTGTAGCGCGATTCGAATTTGAGATTGAGGCACATCAAGTTTTTCATTTACTAAGATAACACGGTTTCCGAATTAAACGCCCTCTGATATAGGTTTCACGCATGAAGACTACGACTACAACTACATAATGCAGCCACGAAAACAGTGTTGCATCAATGTTAAGAGGGAAATTGCGAAATCAATCCGAGTTAGACGCTTCACGAGTCCCACAACTTCCGTGAACCTGTGTAGCTATATGTTTGAATATAAATTAGGACAAAAAAGGTCCAGTTCTAGTAACTGCACCATCGTTTTTCATGGGTGACTGATGACCCTGAAAACAGGGTTTTGTAAACCAGACATAAAAGAAAACCTGCGCTTCAAGGGTGCTAATATAAAAATTGCTTTCAACAAAAAAAACTAGAATTACAGTGAGGAAATGACATTTTTCCTGAACTGAGCGTCTCAGTAGGCACGTTCATGCCAAGTTTCAGCTTTCCATGTCTCTCCGTTTGACTGAAGCAAATATACATCATTGGAAACATCTCCCCTCAAAATGGGTTCCCCCATGACATGTACCTCGAAAATCGAATTTTTTCTGAACTCTACATCCCAAAAGGTACATGTGAACCAAGTTTCAGATTTCTAGCTTCTCTAGAATAAGGTTAGAATTAGCGTCAGTCACTCCCTCACTCACTGATGATCGTCTACATGGTAGCTTCAAAAAGTTTCCGGACTGATTTCATTTCAGCATTTCATGGACATTTATGAACAATTATACACAATTTCCTTCAAAATACTGCCCCTGGGCAACGCCACGCTTCTGCCAGCGTCGATACATTTCCCATTTGCCCTTCAATCGATTTTTCATGCTTGGGAAGTGATAAAATCACAAGTCACGTGATCAGGTGAGTACGGAGGGTGAGAAAGTACCACAGTTCCATATTTGGCGAGCTGTTGGTGCACAAAAAGCGACCCATGCGGGGGAGCATTGTCATCGTGTAGCACTCAGTTTTTGGCCGCCCACAATTCGGGATGCTTCGAACGAATTGCCTTTCGCAGGCTGGCTAGCACCTCCAGGTACCTGTGCTGGTTGACTGTAGCACCTTGCTGAATGAACCCGTCCTATATAGGCACAGTCCGGAAACTTTTTGAAAGTACCTTATATAAATGAGTACATACTGTATATATTTAATTATATAACTGAAGATGAAAACTGACTGGCGAAAGAAGGTCTCCTATGGAATTGAGCCATGCATAATTGCGCCTATTGTAGTATAATATGAGGCACGAAGTCGCGAGAATCCTAATAAATTACAATAATCACAATGAAAATATAATATCCATTGGAATGGACCCAAGATCTGAAGGGCTTTAAAAACGCAGAAGCTGTATTGGTACCGTGAAATTCGAGTATAATAATCATGATGGAATGCCAGCATTCAGAGAGGCTCCTTCGTAATGGATGAAGTACTGAAGCGACTGTTTGAGTTGAATGAGAAAACAAACTGATTCTTTTCCCAGCGAAAGTGAATCTAGTATTTCGCTCTCTGTGACTCTCATTGAATGTCATTGACTAAGGTCAATGACATTCTCGCTAGATTTATAAAATTGTCATATAATTTTCTCATACCGTCGGTGCCATCGGTAGGTCAACCCAAAGGGATTCAAGCAGTGACCTCTCTCAAGTAAACGTTAGAACATAAATGTTCACCCCTCGAGTCTATCTGGAAGGTCTTTGGTTTGGGATGCATCCTAGAATGAGATAACTCAGGAATGTTCATCGTACTCCAAAATACTGTATACCTATCTACCTTTTGGCCTTGCTTTGAACAAAGAGAAAAATGTACTTGAATTATCAGTTTCTTTCCAATGAGGAAATAAAATATAGGTAAGGTTGAGCTTGACAATAGATAAGGAATGATGTATTTGTATTGCTCCAAATGGCCCTGAGAGGAAACACATTTAATTTGTATTCCTTACTAGCGAGTTTATTTCCCCTTCGGGCAAACAAACTCCCTATGGTCGCGCCTTCGGCGCTGCATTGTCTTGAATAGTGATTAACTCATACATTTTTTGCGAAATGGGAAGCACGTATTTGAAGTACGTCCCCATTAAGATACGTGACATATGGGGTAGAAAATCGTGATTTTTATCAAAATCATAATTTCTTTGATTCTATGTGTCCATGACTTTAAATCTTTTCATGTGTCCCTTTTTGTAAGGGTGGAGAAGACATATTGCACACTTCCCTCCTATAATCTACGCTAATGTGGCATATTTCAAAAGTAGGATTTTTCCTGTACTCTGCCATCAAATAGGTACTTCTGAGGGAAGTTTAAGTTTTCTGTCTCTGTTTCGTTGGATCAAAAAATAAATTAGGATAATAGTACTTTATAAAAGGGCCCTGATAGGATTTAACGAATGTTCTTTTCCTCTGAAATGTTGACTTAGGGAACTCCATGCCACCCACTTTTAGTATTATACATTTCCCTTTTTTACTGGCGATAAAAAAAATATATATATATTTGAAAAAGCGATCCACCCAAAAGCTGTGCTCTGAGGAGACGCACAGCAAAATTTGAATTTTTCCATAAATCAACATCACGTCCGTTATGCGTGCGCCAACTGCAACTTTCTATTTCTGCCCGATTCGCTAGGATATTAAACATTCTTTGAAAACATAACGTTCTCAAGAAATACCCCCCCGAAATTCCAATTTTTTGGAAATTTGACATTTTTCCTGACCGCAAAGCGTCAGCAGTCACTTTTTGCCAGCTTTCAGCTTTCCACGTGTCTCCATTTGATTGAAGCAAAGAGAACTATCCATATTTGAACATATGTTCCCGGAAAAGGTGTGCCCCTGTGGCAAGTATCACAAAAGTATTATTTTTTCCTGAACTCAGCATGCGAATAGCTACTTATGTCAGTCATTCGGCTACTCACGATCATAATACATCATAATAGTAGGCTTTTTTATTTACTCAGCTATCCATCAGGTTCTTCTTTGCCAGGTTTAAACTTTCTAACGCGCTCTGTTTTGCTGGATCGAGAAAATAAGCATTTTGTAAAATATGTGGCCTTAGGAGTTTTAAATTAAAAGTACATTTTGCTCCCGAATTCAATCCTGAGAGAACAACATGACCCCAAAGTTTCAACCTTATACGTTTGCCCTTTTCGCTCATGAAAAAACGTTTTTGGAAAAGCCGACGCACCTAAAAGCTATGCCCAGAGGGAATGCACCATGAAAGCTGAATACTCCTTCAACTCAATCATAATATCATGTCATTTATATGTTTGCCATATTTCACCTTTCCCTTTGCATCCAATTCGCCACGACAATTTTTTGTTAAAACATAGCCCTTTGAAAAAACTCCCCCAGGGGATGTATCGAGACAAGAAAGCCAAGGAATTCTCGGGAATTGAACCCGGATCTCCTGATTGCAGGTGAGATATGCTACCACTACACCACCAAACCCAGCTCAACCAGTCCGCCCTCTCGATGCCATCCTAATCCGTCACAATATACCTTGTTCTGCCATAAATACTGTTACAAGATTTACATGTTCCTTGCGTTCTAGCGAAAGAAGCTAGAAACTTGTAACCTGGTAATCGTGCGGTGTATTATCTGCCGTATTGTTTGGTAACATTTTGGCTGTTGCGTTGCGTGCAGTAATCATGGAGTGGGGTGACAAAGAGAATCACATAGCAGTGATTGCCCTGCACAAAGTGGGTCAGAAACCTGCAATCATTTCAAGACTTTGCAGCCACTTGGAATCAGTCGGAAGTTTGTTTACCGAGCTATCAAACGTTACAATGATATTCAGGGAGTACAAGACCCCCTAGATCTGAACGTCCACCAACTGCCAGAACACGAGTCATCAAAGAAGTTAGCAACAAAATTCAGCGAAATCCTTTACGCAAGGAGAAAGTGATGGCCAGGGAAATGGCCATCTCGACTAGAAGCACGTATCGGTTGATTAAATCAGACCTAAGGATGGGTAAAAAAAGATAAGACCAAAGCACATGACACATGATGACTCCATCTCTGAAAGAAATCAGGAGGTCGCGATCGAAAGTGGTGCTGCAGAGGTACGCGCAAAACAGACACCACGAAATCCTCTTTACCGATGAGAAAATCTTTACTGCTGAAGAAAAATTCAATTGGCCAAATGGCCAAGTGTATGCCCTTACAACTCTTGGGAAGCTCCAGAAGTCATCCATAAGGTGGAGAGAAGTCATCATCCTGCTTCTGTCATGGTTTGGTTGGGGGGGGGTGAGTTATGAGGGTGTCACCAAGTTGCATTTTTGCAAGTAAGAAGTGCAAACATCAGCCAGAGTGTACCAATAATAAGTCTTAAAGAAGTCAGTGATGCCTCTCAGCTCAACAATGTTCAATGGGGGCAACTGGATCTTCCAGCAAGACTCCGAACCTGCTAACAAAGTTAGGACATTGCAGGAATGGCTTGCTAGCAGTCCCTGAGTTCATCAAGGCCTCTGATTGGCCATCTGGGAACCCACTGGACAATAAACTGTGGGCAGTGTTGTAGCTGATGGCCAACCACATAAGACTTCCAAATATTGAAAGTCTCAAGCGAACCCTTGCCAAATCAGCAGCCAATATCCAATGGAAGTGGTGCGTACTGCAATGGATGAGTGGTCTGATCGTTTAAAGTCATGTGTGGACAGGGGTGGACATTTTGAAAAATGTTTCTGTAAAATGTTAGTAATTATGTAGGGAAATAAATGGTGTTAGCAAATACAGTGTATGTTTTACATGAAAAGAGTTATTACAAAAAACCTTGTAACACTATTTATGGTAGGACTAGGTATATATTTAAAAACCTCCCCCCACAAAATATGTACCCCGAGGGCATGTACCTCCAAAGTCGGATTTTTTCTGAACTCTGCATAACAAAGGGTACATGTGTACCAAGTTTCAGATTTCTACCTTCTCTAGAACATGGTTAGAATTAGCGTCAGTCATTCCTCATTTTGTAACGGGACTCAAGCCGGTATTTTTTTCACCCATATTTTCCTACGTATTCATTCAAAATATGTGAAAAGGAATTGGACTCCATATCACAGCATGCGTACAAAACATGGAAGCACGTCCATACGTAGCAAGCATTTTCTTGTCATTATCAACTGTTCACTACACTGTATCATTCAGCAACACGCTGGTCTCGAACTTTGTCACTAAATACAGCTATTACACCTACCGTCACTATATGCAACAGACACGTCTTGAGGAAAGTGGGGGGAAACAGGTTAAAAGTATCAGAAAAGCCCAGTATGATGAATGGGAGCTATCATTCGGAATGAGAGAGTGGCTGCAGATAGAATTGCAAATTCCAAAAGAGAAGGAAATTACCTTATTCAATTATGATGTTTTTCACTTTCGTTTTGCGAAAGACGAATACGATATTCAATAATTCCAAGGCACGTTGGCAACAGAATACGAATTTTAGAGCAGTGCAACCTTCTTCCGAACAACATCGCATTCTCTCAGCTCATGTTCGTGTTTCACGCTCACAGTGGAGTGATCTTGACAGGACTGTTGATGAATGGATTTTTTTGTTTAGCCTCGGAAGAGATAATCTCACTTCCCAGAGAATGATAGGAACTACGCCACGCAATTCAATTTGATGTATGTTGTACGTTTACCGTTCGATTCCGCTCCTGGTCTGCCCTTGGGGCATCGTCTCGAGAGTTCGCTATGGCCAGTGGCAAGCCGACCGATAGGTCTGGATGTAGCAAGACGGGGTTCGACGCACCCAGAGACATCGGATTGCCCGGCCCCAGTAGTCAATTTAACAATAGTCACCCTGGGCGCACAGTGACTATCGCAGTCCTGATTATCCTGGGCGACGACTGAGCCAGTATGGAGTACCCGAGCTAATCTCATCATGCTGGATTTGGTTCGTCTTGGTCACCCTCAACGGAAGCCCCTATAACATGGTTGGACCTGAGATATTACTGCCTTCCGCAACACTGCAGTCCATCCTCGCGACGTGGACGCGCGAACCATTGAGGGAGTGCACGAAATATCGTGGGATCACTCTCCTCAGCATACCTGGTAAAGTCTATTCGAAGGTGCTGGAAAAGAGAGCTCGGACAGTCGTGGGTGATGCCATCCAAGAGGAGCAGTGCGGCTTTCGTGAAGGGCGCAGTACCACGGACATCACCACGTTCACTCTCCCCCAGATCCTCTAGAGGCATTGGGAGTATGCCAAAGATGTCTACATATGCTTTGTGGACCTTGAAATAGCTTACGACCGTGTACCCCGAGGAAAACTGTGGGGAGTGCTGCAGGAGTATGGGATCAAGGGTCAGCTATTGCGGGCCATTCAGTCCCTTTACAGCAATTGCAGAAGCTGCGTCCGAGTGAGCGGGAGGAATGAGGATTGTTTTCTGGTACGCGCTGGACTCCGGCAGGGTTATGTCCTCTCACATTTCCTGTTCCTCGTGTACATGGACAGGATCTGTAGGCGCAGCCTCGGCCTGGAGTGGTTCAACATTGGTGACGTCGCGGTAAGGATACTTCTCTTTGCCGACGATGCCGTTCTCTTGACCCGCTCTCGATAGGTACTTCAGAGCGTGCTCGATCGGTTCGACTCCGAATGCACTGCGGCCGGAATGAAACCGAGCGTCTCCAAGACACAGGTCATTGTCCTCTCGAGAAATCCTGCTCGGTGCACCCTGCATGTCAGTGGGGTCCCACTGGAACAGGTGGGGAAGTTCAAGTATCTCGGGGTCTGGTTCTCGAGTGACGGGCGATAAGGAAACGAGATCGACAACCGTATCTCCAAGGCTTCTGCAGTTCTGTGGGAACTTTGGCTAACCGTGGTTACCAGGTCGGAAGTTTCTTGGGAAGCAAAACTCTCGGTTTTTATGAGTGTTTATCTCCCCACCCTCACCTATGGTCATGAACTTTCGGGTGTCGAATTATTTTCTCGTAATGAATCGACTATAATTGCATGCCTACTAATAATAAGAACATCTACAGTATATACCAATTACATTGTCCTTTATATTCGATTTTGTTCCATTAAATTTTTTTATATCCACAAGTTGCCTTTTCAGTAAGAATAAGGCAACCTGTGGATCCTTCCCCGTAAGACTTGGGCCTCCCCTTTATCGCAGAGATGTCTTCGTATGCGCAGAATTTGGAGCGGAATAACTAGCGACTTCCAATGGGAAATGTGGCCATATACGGTGAACATAGTAAGCATTTTTTGCGAACGTGGTGGGGTACTCCCCCCTACTTCACCCTCTTAACCAGAACATATAGGTTATCACTGCAACTGCTGACATGAGTTTCCTTTGGTGTTCAGACTTCGAACTTCTTTTGACAAATTTTTCCACAGATTCCATGGACTCATCCAACGATAACCAGGATTCCTCATTTCATCATGCACATTCTGTCCCCAATATTACCGATCGGACTTCAAAAGGGGGCCAAATAATGTGAGTCTCCGTTTCTCACTCTGAAATGCTAATTGGCTAATGTAACACTTTAGAGCACGAGTCATTCGCTGTATATCTTTACACCCTGAGAACATAAGGTATAGTCGAACTCGGCTATAATGTTATCAAAGGGACCCGAGAAAAATAATCTTCATGACCTAGATTGCTTTTATTGACAATCCGTTTCCCTGTTTCATAATGGACGCTATATAACGTTACAACTTCAGTGTACATCGGTCATGGCGCACTTGCTTCAGCTTCAGAATTCGTGAAGTTCGCTCTTTTTCGAGTATTGAACTACTTTATACTATAGCGAGGCCTCGTTGACGTCATTTCAACAGATCAACGAAATTCCTTGTTTTGTGGCATGTTCTCTGATGAAGCTGTCGCGATTTTCCCAAATTATGGAAACAAATGAACATGTTCTTGAGCGACGTTAGCTTTGCTTCGACCACTTTCTATTAAACTAATTATGCACACTTTTCTTACAATCACGAAGGCAAGCCACTTTCACTTTCCACTGGGCATGTTGTCAACGAGAAATGCAAATGGCGACTGAAAATGAGATAATCTTTTTAGTTACTGGGGAAATTCCCTCTCTCACCCTCTTTCAGTTACACCCACATAAGACGCAAGAATGCCGACTCCAAGAAAGATAAGTTTAGGGCTCGCCAACACTCATTTTTACGATGATGGAAATTTCAGTTAGGAATGACGAATTAGGGACACCAACGTCTCCAATTTCGTCAGTAGGACATTGAAAGGACTTCTTTATAACCGAGGTTCTCCCTATAACCACAGTAAAATTTAACACGCCTCAGGCTCTACGCCGGGACCCGGCGATTTTCGTCGTTATAACCGAGCTGGTTATAACCGAGTTGGACTTTACAATAAGTACACTGTGAGTCAAAAGTGCTGCCCACCATTGAACGTTAATAAAGTCTGAACTCTATATCTAATCAAGATGTGGTCGCATCTTGATCAGATCTAGCGTAGGGAAGTTATTAACATTCAAGAGGTGGGCAGGAATTTTGACTCTCCTTGTATGTTCAGTGATGATTGAGAGCGGAAAAATAGCACATGGCAGTACGCTTCTTGATTCAGTCCAAGAAGGCTTCCCTGGCTTCAAAATTAAGCAAAAAAACGAAATGTCTTTCTTCGTAAGTATACAATTCCTACTCAATCCAATCTGGAAAATTCCAGGAAAATTATGCCAAATTTTGTCCAATGACGGGGCATCGAGTGAAGGGTAATTTACTAATCGAAGAGATACCTTCACATTCTGGTATGCATCTATTTCCTTTTTTGTTAATAGGCAACATGAGAATGAGGATTCTAGCATGTTGAGGAATGGAGGGACAATGGCCTCCCAAAGTGCATTCAAGCAGGTAAGAGATCTAAGTCCCTGCATGGAAGCCTCCACTTTCTACCTTTTCCGAAAGCAATTCTCTGCAAAGTGACCAGGTCTTGTTGAAAAACAACTTCATATGACTATCCAGTTCGATTCACTTCTGGAAGAAGGTAATTTCTCAAAATATCCATATGTATATTTCATTCTTGTTGTCCAAAAATGTTTCCATTGATGGAGGTATTGCAAAAATTGGTTATGGTCGTTTATAAAGGAGAGAGAGAGTCCCATCAGCAAATGTGGATGAGCTTAAATATTACATTTAAAATGTTGTGCATGATAATTCTGCGGGGGAAAAAACCTATGTTAAGAAATTCATCTAGGTGCACATTCTACTGAATTTTTATTTGCTTTAAATATGATGGATTCCACACAGAAAAAGAGGAATATTAAAAAAGTACAGGTAAGTTTTAAATATTACCCTATTTATGACCCTGTCATGCCTTACTGGCCTCCCTGTGCAATAGGGTTACACTACTTGCCTTCACTGGACTCATACTAAAATGCATTAAAAGAATGCTTATCATGGAGCACAGGCCATGCGCACTAAATACTTGATGACATTTGATCACCATGCATTTATTCACACTCAGCTGGAGAAAGAAAAGAAGGTCCTGGAAACACGGAACAAAGAAATGGAAAAGGAACTGGCTTTGGTGAAGAAGCGAAAAACGGCGCTTGAGAGTAGAATTAAAGAACTTAAGGCTCAACCCAAGAAGTTTGTGTCTGAAGAGACAGAAACAGAGAAACGCAAGCTTGCGAAAGACCTCGAGGAAAGCAATGATAAGGTCTCTTATACATTATCTTTTTTTTAATGGTTAAGAGGTGAAAGAATGATTCCTGATTCCAGATAAAAGAGCTGATGTTGGAGCTGTCGAATGCGTTGACCATGGAAAAAAAGGCAAAGAACCTTCAGGAGCAGCTCAAGAGGAAACAGAATGCATATAGCAATATAGAACGAGATAAACGTACAATCGAGAAGGAGCTCAAGGAAAGCAAAAATCAGGTATCATATTCTATTCCAGTCACTTTCGCATATGGGTCTGTCCATGGCAAGTGATCTGAAGATTCGTAGCAGGAACTTTGTATGAACTTGCAAATATTACTCTCTCTACAAAAGTTCATAATCTCTTTTTCCTGAAAGCATGGAAAAATTAGATTATCCAGGAAGTTCAGAGAATTAGTAATTTTCAATATGTAGTATTCACACAATTCTCATGATATTCATGAATATGATGGAAATTTGGAGACTGAATTAGACTTCTGGAATCGATGCCTGCATGGGTTCTCCAATGGGTATTGTTAGTTTCAAATCAGCCAAGGTGTTAAGTCAGTATGTCAATTTTTCATATTTGAACATTATTTAAAAAAAGCATGAAAAGATGCATTTAAAAAATTTCACACGTTACATCGACACAGTCCAAAAATATCCTTGCTTTATTTTCTTAGCTAGGTAATATTGGGGCGACTTAAACTGATTTCAGACTTTCATTTAATCTATGGAATAAACAAAATAATAACACTGAAATGTAAGGTTCCGCTTCATGACAGGACTGTAACTATTAGACCAAGTGACTCTACTTTGAGGTGGCATGAAATGGCACATCCGATACTTTCATCACATGGTTACACTTCCAGCAAAAGTGAACATGTAAGACTTTGGCTTATGTAACTTTCAGCAACTGCCTCAGGTTAATTGCTACAGCCTGTATTTGTTGATTTGTCATTTTTGATGCAGTTAAATGCATTTAGTATAGGAAACATTACTTCGGATGTGGCGTGACGCTTTGGACAGGCCCATATGTCACATTTTCTAAGGAGTCGGAGGTGAAAGAATGACTCATGGTTCCAGGCCGCAAAGCAACGGTTGCATATTTTGACCGTGGAGAAGAAAGCAAAAGAACTTGAAGAGCAACTTAAGAGGGAACAGAATGCGAATGGAGAGCTAATGCGCCATAAACGTATGATCGAGAAGGAGCTCAAAGAAAAGGTTTCACCTTCCATTCTATTTTCCTTTGCTGGTTGAAGCAACACCAAGGCAAGAGGCTGGGTTCTGATAGGTGCAGCAAAAACTGGTCAATGTGAAGAAGAAGCCTACACAGCCCGACGCAGGGAACAAAAGACTCCAGCATCCAGCCTCCGGAACTCAGATGTTGAGGGAAGATCAAGTAGACTCATCCCAATCGCGGCGGACTCGGGTACTCATGACTAAAATTTCTTCCAAATAATGATTTAGGAGAAAGAGTTCTATAAGTTCGAATCACCACTTGAAGCGAAATCGGCATGACTAAGTTGAATTGAATCTCAACATTTTCTAACTTTGCTCCTGAAAACTTAAATTTGGAGTCGGTATATTCATTTTTTCCTCTAGACAGTTATTTCTCTAATGTAATGTTGAAGCAGTTTGCTAATCCCCCATACCGAAACAGGCTTGCATTTTCAAGATTGAAGTCATCCATATCGATTTAACTCTGCTGGAGGATTGAAGTTAGTGGTGGGGTCATGGCTGTAAGAACATGTGGGACTAAGCAGGCAATAGGCCAAGGACGACAGGAACCGAAGGTATGAAAAAGAACGGAGAATAGTTTCCATTAGGGAAACGTAGAGAGGGAGATAAGCCAGTCATATCTGCAGAAAGAACATGCCCTCCGTGCAGCGTATTAACTAATACAACTACCCCTTCAGATATTCCGACAGTTAATACAGGAGACTGGGGCACCATGGAATGGCTAAGCAATTTTCCGTTAACAAGTCCGTGTCATAATATCGCAAAAATTAACAAGGCAGCATCGTAGACTCTGATGTGTTGTCAGGAAGTAAGCCTTGTGAATTTGACATGAAACAAAAGGAACGGCAATTTCAAGCATTTTTCCGAAACCCAGGGCAAAGTGATGAAAGAAAAATACGTCGAGTGTTGACAAAACGAGGTGTCCTTCTTCCCACTAGCTATAAGCGATTAGAGAAAAAGGCCCCCATGATATCGATTTGCCCACAGCAACAGGAAACTTGATAGCAAACTAGCCCGTCCGATCCGCTGGAAGGGTTGGTCCAATAGAGCTGATCCGCATCCCGTGCATGACTCAAAACCACACCCTATCGCATGCCCGGACGGAACCCACTGAAGGAAGGATGCCAAACATAATGTTACTAGCAGAGCCCCGAGCAAATTGAGCAATATTACTATGCAGCAATTTCCAGACTTTACAGCTAATACTTATTATCCTAAAGGTACATGGTCTAAAGGAAAATGTTTTGAACTCCGCCATAGAAAGTAGCTATATACATTCTTTTCTTTTGATTTTCATAGAGGAATACGAACCATTTTTTTATGAATCTTAGAAATTGACTTTCAAAAATTCCTATTAGGAGAAAGGTATGCTCAGGCCTAGGGCTCAGGCCAGGGTTAAGCTTAGACCTAACCCGTGTGAGTCCCTCAATTAATTTTCTTGTTGAATTGGATTTGAACAGATGCCACGACTCTTTACATTAACTGGACGTCGCGAGCGACGAGGTAACAGAACGACGTTATAAACCATCAAACTTCCAATCTCTATATTACCCCCGGTAGCGCCCTGCACGTTCCAATTTTCCGGTACCCGATAGGCCCAATTCAAGTCATGCCCTGCACCCGATCCGAAAGCCAAATTCCAACCCAAACCTCGCGACCCACAGCCGACCTTAAAAGCTGTAACCTATGTTTTCTGTGTATTTCCTCATCATTCCAAGTTGTTTTGCAAAAACAGGAGGTCGTCGATCGTCGACTGACAGTGGAAAATTTATTGGAGGACAATGAGCCTTAGGTGGCACTAACTATCCCATGCCCGTCTAAAATTCATACTTTCATTATTTCCATTCCTGGTCAAACAATTTACCATTTCCCTTCTCACAGATAACATGCATAAATAAGACTCCAGCCATAACACGGAGTTTCCAAGGTTTCAGACCAGAAGAGCAATAACGTGTGAATGTTAGAATTCCATCCTGCTCAACCTGAAGATGGATATTGAACAATTCGGCCCTAGACGGCCCGCGGGTCTGGTCGGGTCGGGAGGAACGATCGGGCCGGGCCACAGCCTGGGCAGGGCTTTAACTCTAAGATCCTCCAATAGCGAAAACGACTGGTGTTTGTCCTAAAAATTTCGAATTCTTTCTTTACTCCCAGGATTGAAACATGGCACTACAAAGCTGCATTGTTCATTCAATAGTGTAAAGTCATAAAAGGATTGACAGCACTTAAAAATAACAAAAACGTGTCCGTTATTTTACGTGTTTACACGCTTTTTGTTCGCTGACTAAATCATTCGTTCATTGTTCAACAAGCCTATGTTCCCCATTGTTCAACGAGCCTATATTTTTCCATCGCCAGTGGCAATTATCCTTTTCAAGAGTGTGACACTTGCAAATAGTCAATATGAAGATAGAGCCTGGACCCCGATGAAGCCGATACCCAGGCAACGATGCACCTATGCACTGAATGTTGCGTTCCGGTAGCTTTTGAATTGAAGATACTACACGTTTTTGAAAGTCAATTTCTAAGATTCATAAAAATGGTTCGTATTCTTCAATGAAAATCCAGAGAAAAAATGTATATTGCTACTTTCTATGGTGGAGTTCAAAACATTTTTCTTTAAACCATGTGCCTTTAGGATAATAAGTATTTGCTGTAAAATCCGGAAATTTGCTGCATTGTAATATCTCTCAATTTTCTCGGGACTCTGTTAGTAACATTTGATTTGGCATCCTCCTTTCAGTGGGTTCCGTCCGGGCATGGGATGAGGTGTGCTTTTGAGTCATGCACGGGATGCGGATCAACTCTATTGGACCAACCCGTCCAGCGGATCGGACGGGCTGGTTTGCTATCAAGTTTCCTGTTGCTGTGAGCAAATCGATTTTATAGCTAATGGGGAAAAGGACACCTCGTTTTTTCCGCGCTCGACACGATCACGTCATTAAATGGCGTCGCTCTAGGGCAAGAAACTGCCCGCGGAAGGTAGCGAACGAGGAGACTAACAGGCCAGCACGAAAGTGCCGTTTTGGGAAGTCGGAAGCATTAGCAAATTCGGCAGAATCACTTAGTGAAAACACGCCCCCATATTTCTGGAGATCAGAGACCTAAGCGAGACGGCTGGATACGTGTGACTTAACCCATCATCCTGAGAGGGTGACTTTTCTAACTCAGAAATGATGGTTTACTATAGTAAAAGCAGGAGCAGAAGAAGCGCAGTATTTATTTCTGAAAACAAACCACTGGTCCAATCTAGCCATTCTAGGTAAACAACAAAAAAAAGAACTTGAAATAGACCGAAAGCGATGGTGGTTTTCACTAATCCGCAAGGCCTATAAGTCTATGCCATTCTAGGCCATACGCAAAGCCATAAAAACGTTGACGTACTTTTAGTCTACTTTTAAATTACTCACCCTGTAGATGGCAATTACCTCAGGGTGTCAAGAGTCCTGCCCACTCTTTGAAAAGTAATTATTTCGTATTACTAGATTTGATTGAGACTTGGATTACACCTTCTAAAGAAGATTTTTTTTTTCTATCAATTAAATGGCTTGCATCCGCTATAATTTCGACACACACAGGAATAAATAGCAGACTTCCTTCAATTTGGACGCCCACTATCAAACGATTTCATACTAGGCCATGGGTTAGGCCATCCACGGCCTAAGGGGCTAAGCCTACAAGGCTCTGACATTTTAGGCCATAAGCTTTGGCATCTTATCTGCATGGGTTTCTTACTTAGTGGTGGCCGATTAGTGATTGACACAGTTCCCTGTCAATGCGTATAGCGTTTTCGCGCATTGGCTGCAGGTTCTCCACTTGAATACATACGTTGCTGGTGCATTGTTTCACGGAAAAGCTTTTTTTTTTATAAGTTAGGAATGGCGGTTAACGTCGTCGCACCCATGCAATGCTTTTCTGTCTGTGTTTCATGTCATGTCATGACCGATTTTTTATGTTTCACGTGTGATGAAGTCAAACATATTAATATAAACTCTTCGTTTCATATGTCGCTCAAACTCTGCAAAAGCGCTCCTCCTGTCAACGTTGACGGCGATGATTTTCCTGAAATGATTGAACGCGAAGAAATGTTGGTCGAGGATGCACAGGATAGCGATTAGGCAATGACCGCATATGAAACGATCGGTGTAGGCAGGTAAAACACTTTAGCCACCGCAGTTGCGGAGCGAACTGCAGAAAACGGTTTAGGAAATGCTTGCCGTTGTGGTCGTTGGGCTGGAATGAGTGATGAACAGCGGGAGGCACTGAATGCTGAGCACAAGAATAGGAGAACCGCGTTGCCTGCTGAGCAACTCAAGGCAAGGAAAGCAGCGCGCAGGCGTTCAGCTTGACCTGCTCTCGGACGAGCCTTTGGGGTCATGCACATACTGCGACCTCCCTAGGGCGGCTTGCAGAGAGCTATTCCCTCATATGCATGGCACCCCTCCAGCCAGACCACTCACTGCCTGTCATGCCGGCTGGACTGTTAATTTATCTGGGACGTTACATCATTATCACTATCAAATATCCGATTTTTATTGCAAATAAATTATTATTCCTATATATTTTGGAACCTTTGCAGTAAGAACCCTATAACCCTGTCTCATTTATTGATACATCTATTTAAACGAATACAAATATCTGTTCCTCAGTTCTCATTTCTCCTGTCACTGGAATAAGCTGGAGCTCCATCCAGCCTTTATTCCCCCACATATTATGTTTGGCACTTACACATCATGTATTTAGCTCAAATAGGCGTGAAAAAAGTGAAATCGATAGAATCCTCCCATGCACGGCTCTAAAGGAGGAAGTAGGTAGGTAGGTAGGTTGGTAGGTAGGGGGGTCCACTTGGGGCCATGGGTGAAGGGGTCTCCTTTTCCAATGAAGCGACGCTTCTCTGAGTGGACCCAGCTCAACGTGACCAGATGAAATGGTGGGGGGATTTTTTTTTTCAATGTTGAAAGTTTTGTTAATTGGATTCTTTCTCTTACCAGACTAAGGTTGTTTCACAATCTTCTCTGCTCATCTACCTGCACACGCACAAGAAGAAGCTGATTGTTATCCACTTCTATTCACACACAAGTGTGAAGAAGGGGGAAGTGGAGAAGATGGAGAGGAGAATTGTTGAGAAAATCAGTCATGCAAAATTCCTGGATGCTGACTTGGATGCAAACTGGACTATAGACTTTTCGGAAGACGCTGACAGAGAACATTTGAAATATTTTATTGTTGTTTTTTCACCAACAAAAGCAGATTTTGCTGCCATTAATGAACTTTTTTTGGGATATACCCAGATGAGTCCTTCTGATCATCATCTCAAATATGAGAGATATATAGACAGGTATATTCCTGGATATACAGTTCCCAAGTACACCATGCGGCGATATATTATATCAGAGTGTATCATGAAGTGATGTGGAAATGATTGGGTGAACTGAAAATGAAAATTTTAGGATTTGGATTTGTAATTATTATTTACTTAAATCCTCTGTGGGAAAAAGTAAAAAAAAATTAGAGAGAAAAGTGTTTAGAAAAATCATTAAGACAACATTCTCTTGTTTCTTGATTGTTAATGGAGGTGAAGAAATGAAAGAATAAGAAAATGAAGACTTAGACTTTCATTCACTTTCTTTCCAGCATGTAGAATTATGCTGTCATTTATGACGAAATCATGAAATATTCCAAGCTAAATGTATTGCATGCGGCACATTGCACTCATCGGCAAAATAATAAAAGATGATCATGACTATTTGCAATCTGGAATTCATACGATTACATTTTTTTAAAGCTATTCCTCCAACCAACAAACTGGAAGGACAATCACTGGTGACTCCTGGGTTAAAGTGTTCTCATCTGAGGCACATGCATTCTGCTAAATTTAATTCCAAAGGAGGGTAGAGAAACATTTGTGAAATATGAGCTTAAGTGTTTATCTTGGAAAGCAAAAACCTGACTTCGTTTTTTTTTCATGTTGCTGAGAGCAATCTGATTTGAACCGACCTCATAGGAATGAATATACCAGATCACCCTCTTCACTCTTCACATAAGTGATCCATTCCAAATGTTTATTCTCGCTGACCATGGTGTCGCAAAGTTCGGTTTGAGTGTTATATGCCTCTCCAGGACAGTAATAAAATAACTGATTACCATCACTGACAACTGGAACCTAAGAAATTAATACCGCCTCATACCTGACCATTTACCTGTAGAGCTCTCCAAAGCATCCATCAGGAAGCATCTACTGGATGTTCTGTATGTCAGGAGAAAATTGTGAAAATCCATTTTTTCTACCAATGTATATGTTCCTCGTATACTCAGCCTTTTCCAGGTTCAGAAAGAACCACTTTTAATCAACAAAGGAGCCCAAGTTGCTCCTTTACTATGGTCATACTCTCAACCCCCTCCCTCCCCCTCATCCAAATGTCAATCATGCCTACTGCCTAAGGGCGGGTTCAGTGGCGTCTTGCTTCAAGGGAAGAGGGGTCCGGCCACCCCTACCTGAGATACAGAGCACTCATCATGTGACTTCTCGTAGATTGTCTTACCTGAAGCATCAAGGATTTAGTTTTCCTGTTTCATCGTGTGGAGCACAGACACATTCATTTCATGGGTGACAATACCTGTTGTGTTACCCATGAAATGGGTATACCAATTATACCATATACCGTATACCACATACCATATACACAAAGACGTACATTACCTAAGGACTCCTGAAAAAGTGGGAAAATCTGTGCGCAAGAAAGGTAGACAGATGGAGAAGGTTTCACAGGTAATTTGCTTGAACGTGTACAGGAATGTTGGCAGCATTCGTGAAACTCAAAAACTTACAGGCGTCTCGAAGAATGTCCTCCTGAAGCTCACTAAAGGTAATCGCCCAGAGACACCTGTGAAAAAGAGGATTAGAATTCCCCTCCAGAAAATTCACATTTAGAAATTGTATGGTTCGTTGCACCGTCAATTAAATTTATGCCTCACGAAGCTTCCCTACGTTAGATTTGTAGTTGGAACGGTTGATGAGGGACACGAAGGACACCGAATATCCATTCCCATATGGAAGAAGCACCCTTGCCAAGCTATTGCAAGATCTCAAATTTCTCTATAGGAAGCTGGATACCCGGCAGGTCATCATGAAAAGCCCACATATAATACCCATGAGGTATGTGGCGCAAATCGATCTGTGTATATCTTTGTATATGTAAATAAATGTCATGATTTATTCCTTGAGAATTCGAGCATCAGTGAGAAAACTGAAATAGGAATCTGGGAGGAATTTCCCCTTCACCCACTTCACCCCAAGAGGCAAACTTCATATATTTGCTTAGGCGAGGCAGATGCTTTTCCGTCGAATTTTCCTTCGATCTTAAGCTTGAACTTCTGGGGAGTTTCTGGGGCAAGGTTTCCTTCAATCGTATCCAGGACTTCATGAGGGGTAAAGGTTATTCCTGGTTCGTCGGTTGAAGCAACAGGACGTGGTTGAGGCTTGTGTGGCCTCCCAGCATTAGGATCTATTGAGTTGCACTTTGTATAGTCCGGGCGATTGATATCGAAAGGAACGAAACAAGCCTTTCTGAAGCCCGAAGCTGCCAGATGACCTCGTTCCCGAACTTCCCTCCAAACCGGATAAAAAACCTGCAAAAAGCGTATTTTAGTGAAGTCCACCTGAGGGTGCTTTTCATGCCAGTCCGGAAGAGCTTCATTATAAAAGGCACTCTTCAGGGGCTTCATAGCCGCCAGGTCGAGAGGCTGGAGGATGTGACTTGCATGAGGGAGCAAAGCGTACAAGATAATATATTCATACTTACTGAGTTCCCGCAGCTCAATGGTAGTGTGGGTCCAGTGTCCATCCAGATAAACAAGGACAGGCTTTTTCAGGTGCTTTTGTTTCACGTGTGGAATGAAAACATCTCTCATGTATTTGAAGGAAAAAAAAAACAGGTCCTATCATCCATCCAGACGAAGAACGTCCGATGCAAAACTCCTCCTTTTCAAAATCCAGCCCTTCGTAGTATTTGTAATATGGTAAACTTCGAGCCTTTACCATTATCATTGGTGGGAGAAAATATCCATCCGTGCAAGCACCGATAAGTACTGTAATGGTACTTTTACCATCAGCAACTTTCCTTTGGATTGTTTTGATCCCTTTTCTGCAAAAACTTTGGACAGACCACTGCTGCCTTGAAGCCCAAACCCTGTTTCGTTAAAGTTGAAGACACGTGACCTCTCCTCATCAGTAAGAAGATCTAGGGCATCTTCCTCTTCCAAGTAGGATCTCAAATCAGCCAGCCATTTCTTGACATTCGGCTCTGATACATTAGCCCGCCATCTCTGCAGCTTCTGAGGGATTCGTTCCGATACGTCTGAATGGCGACTGAGGAATCGTGAGATCCAGTCCGATCCAGGCTTCATGTCTTTGAAGGGAATACTCACGTTTCCAGGCGGGTATTTTGCTTGGAGGTACTCTTGCACCCTCTTTTGAAGCATTTCCCTGTCGATAGAGAAGTTTGCCCTCTGCTTTGCCTTAATGTAATCTACGATTCTATTCTCAAGATCCTTTCCCAGCCATGGCTCTGGACATGAACGAAAGACGCCTGGATCAACACGGCCTGAGAGACGGTCTCTAAGCGTAGATTCTGGAACACCGTAAATCTTAGCTGCTTCCCTCTGCGTCATTCCTGAAGCTGCTGCTTCAATTGCGTGATGCATATTTTCCAAGGTCCATGTTCGGGATATTCCACGAGGACGTCGTTCCGCCATCTTCCTCTCTCTTATTTAACCCTTTCGGACTTGTGGTGTCCTCTTTGCAATTCTCCACCTTCAGATAGTTCCTCTGCTCCCTTTCCTCTGCTCTTTGAGACGCTTCTGTTGTCTTTGTTCCTTTATTCCTGCCAGTTAAATTGCTATGGGTTGGGCAATTTTTACTTTTGCCATTTATCAATGGATTAATGCATATCTAAAGAAGTAACGTCGAAAGAAAGATCAGTTGAGAAAAATTTCCTCAGAAGAATTACATCACTGCACCAAAATGTAATATTATCATATCGTTCTTTCTCAAGATTACATAGGAATATGATTGATGTGGTTGGGTAGCCATTCCATCCACAAATGAGATGTACACTTGAGAGGAAACAAGGAGAACTAATATTTTTCAGGTATGTAACAAATAAGGATTACGTTTTGTTCATTTCGTTTCGTCTACTTCCAAATATTGATATATTTCTAATGCTGTAACACGAATTGTATATGTTATTCTTCAGCAGCGCGAAATACCCATATATGATCATTTGGTTTCGCGCATGGTCACGAAAATAGCAAAACATACTTTTTCCGTAGGGGGTTTTCGCGCATGACCCTCCTTCTACAATGACTGGATGAAATAAGTGCCTGCTTAGTTTATTTTGAAGTCACGTCCTCCTTAAACATTATCCTATGAGGGCACTACTCTATCCCTTATAGAAAAATAGATGCTAGACATCAAAGCGATCTCGATTTTCTTGCGAAACGGGTCGCATCCTAAGGAACGGACGGAGCCTGTCGCACCCACAGCCCTACTTCTGATAGGCGTGAGCGTAAACAGGCGGAAGTTTCATGTGCGCGTGCTCAGAATCTCCTGCTTCCTCATTGGATGGAGCCTTGTCGTCTGCTCTAGGCCTTTCGTTGGGGAACGTGTGAGAAATGAGCATTCCGCGAAATCCCCCTCATCGCGCGAAAAACACCCGTTTTACCATAGTTGATGAACGATGCTATCCAGAGGATTAGCCATCACTTTGCTGTGAGGTGCTTCCTCGAAAATGGGATTTTTTCCCGATACATGGACTAGGCTGAATCTCCAATTCTCCAGCGATTCTTCAGTGATGAGTCATGTCATTGGTGCCATAGGATAATGGAAAACTTCACCGTCAAAAACCTCTGAGTTGACCACACAAGAAATGTTGAATGTGAAGATTCTTCCTGTTCATGCAATCGCTCTAGCGTGGGAGGGGATACATCTGGGGAAGTTGAGACGCAGTACAGTCGTCCCTCGCCACTTCGCGCTTCGACTTTCACGGCTTCACTCTATCGCGGTTTTCTCAAATATATTCATTAAAAAGTTGATCGAGACAGTGAAAATGATACAGCGCGCGCTCGGTTGTCTGAGTCAATTATACCTCCCTGTATTACAATTCAAATAAAAATTACTGTACAGTATTTGAAAAAACCGCGATAGAGTGAAGCCGCGAAAGTCGAAGCGCGAAGTGGCGAGGGACGACTGTACTCTGTTTCGTACTCAGTCGAACGGGACAGAGGAGGAAAGTTCCAACAGATGTGGTGCGATTGTTATCCCTGGTTATCATTCGAACGTTCCATAGGGAAGGGGCAAGAATTCGGGAAACTCCTCCTAACGTCCTCAAACAAGAAAGACAGTGCAAATATAAGTGTTGGATTCAATAATTGGAATAGCTTTGGAAAGGTTTTCCGCTCGTGAGAAAACCGAGTGTCACATGCCGAGAGGCATGCACGAAGCTGCATGCACTGTTTTCGGGGGTAAACGTGATGGGTGAAATCAAAGTGGTACATAGGGCCGATCTCCTTCGTGCCAGAAAATTAGAGATTACTTTTATTACTTCATAAGTTAGTTGGACGGCAGGGACGAGTTATCCGTGGTCATGAAGACAGTCAATGAAACCTCTTTTAGGTACTGAAAGTTGTGACCGATGATTGTGAAAAACTGGAGTGGTAGAACCGAGGACATCGTCAAGAAGAATGGTTGAGGAAGGATGTACAGAATGAGATTCTCCAAATAATGGTTGATGAGGTCCTGCAAAAAGCAATGATGTTCATTCATCTAAATTCTTGGCTATAATGATCGACGAAGCGAAATATTGCTCTCATTCCGGGCAAGTCAGTATTTTCTTGCTCTAGTGAAGCAGGGCGACCTGAAGCGAGTCTGGAATGGAATTTTATTAAAAACACCCTGAAACTCTATTCTCCATAGTGGAGGATGCGTTGCTGAAGTTTCACTGAAAATAACTGATTCAGATGAAGCCCCAATCCTTCTGAGAGTGGGAGGAGGGCTTGGGTTAGGGACAGCGAGGACAAGAGTACGAGAAGTAGTTGTGAAGGAGCAATTTGTCTCTGTCTCTGAGCCCCCGCAAATTTCTCAACTAATCGCCGCCAATGGAAATCCACATCTTCAAAGAGCGGAAAGCAGTGGTCTCTAAAACCCCGACGAATTGGAGTATCAATGCACAAAAAACATGGAAGGGGCGTAGCGAAAACGTCTGCGTTTTCTGAGCCACTAAGTCTAGTACCGAGTGCGCCAAAAGTGCTTCCCACCCCTTGATCGGTAATAACTCATGACTGAGACATCGGATTGCACCATACGAAAGTCTAGATAATTCTACAATCACTTCAAAGTTAATAGCTTGAGACCAGCAACATTCGTCGCACCGAGACAGAGTGATTGTAGTCAGCGATTCGTGACTGTCAGAGATTGGATTAGGCGAATGGATTGATGAAATGTGAAACGGAAGTCGTTGTAGTGA